GAATGGGAAACATGATAGCACAGGGACTTCACGACAATGGTAAATCAAGTGTTCTGTCTGGCAGGAAAACTGTCATTAGCCTAGGAAGTCATCTAGCTGATGTCATTTTTGAAACAGAAGTAATATGTCTATTTAAATTTATGAGGAAAACAATATTTTATTTTCTGCCATTTACTTTTAGAGGTCAGAAGGAAAATATTTACTGTACCTTTTAAAGGAAATAACATTCATTAGACTCCCCAAAGAGTAAGTTTCAAATGGTAAATATTTCCACTGGCAAAACATAAGAAGTCTGTTTTTAAAAGTGAGGTAACGAAAGACTAACATCAGGTAAAGAAGAGCTTCTCCTGACTGCTCACTCACACAGGTTGGTCCTGTCTTAGCCCTACCTCTAATTCAAGGTCAAAGGAAATGTACTGAAAAGGAGCCTATAGCCACGTAATCACTAGCAGTCTAACAACAGACAGAATGTCCCCAAAGACATTACCTTAGGCAATCGACTAGTTTCACTACTTTTCAGTTAAAGCAACCATGTTCTAGGAGAAACATTTTCTTTTTAGCATAGTAAACATGTGCCAGTAAAGCTTAAAATTAAGATCTGCTATAAGAAAATCCAGGCAACAGCTAATTTGAATAATGAATATGTTTATTCCAATAATCATGCTCATTTTTAATGACATAGATGAATGATTACTGATCAGAAATGATGCTTTTGAAACATTTTTGAGTGAAAAAAAGGTTACAAGATAAGTCTCTCTTAAATATACATATTTTTGATATGTATTTGTAGTGGATATTCATAGAAAATGTGTGAGGGATACACAACAAGGTGTTAACTTTAGCTTATATTTTCAGTTACATTTACGGAGGAATAATTTACATACAGTAAAATTCCCTATTTTATATGCAATTCTGATTTTCAGTAAATGTATATAGTCATATAACTACACCACAATCAATGTACAGAACATTTCTATTATTCTAAAACAGTTCCTGTGTGTCCTCCTGCAGTCCAGACCTCCCACTCCAGGCCCTGACGCTGCTGATCTGTTTTCTTTCCTTGGAGTATTGCTTATTCTCAAAAAGCATACATATGGAATCAGATAGTGAATATGCTTTTGATTAGCCCTTTTGCTAGAATAGGGATTATGGATTGTGATGATTTCTTTATTCTTGTTATCTTGCTTATCTACATTTTCTATTTTCCTATTACAAACACAATTACTTTTGCAATTTAGAAAAACAAAGGTAAAAATTTAATTAATCGTGACAGGCCATTATGGAAGTAGATGAAACCATGAAAGCACACATGAAAACAAACACTGTGTTTAAGTATCACACACAAATGCTGCGTGATGATTAATTACTTCACCCAAATCTTGAGAGGCAATGGACAATCAGCTAGAGCACGGCAAACCTCCCAGCTGTGCTGTTAGTTGGGTGACATTAGGCAGGTTATTTATCTTTTAGAATCGATGTCCTCATGTTTAAACCAGGGGTTAAAACAGTGCCCATCTTGCAAAGTCATTATAAGGATTAGACAAGGTTGTATATTAGGTCACTGGCACCTGATAAAATTCAGCACTAAAATTATGTGTACTATTTATTTGGCTATTCTGAGTACGATCGTTACTGAGGCCTTGGGAGGTATCCCAATAGGAAAGGACCTATCCCAATATGAAAGGACCTATCCCAATAGGAAAGGACCTATCCCAATAGGAAAGGACCTATCCCAATAGGAAAGGACCTATCCCAATATGAAAGGACCTATCCCAATAGGAAAGGACCTATCCCAATAGGAAAGGACCTATCCCAATAGGAAAGGGCTCTCTGCCTCTATTGGCAGAGGAAGGGGTGTCAGGGGCTTGGAGCAAGGCTTACTTTTAATCTCAAAACTAAATTCAAGACATTCCATTTTAGAAAACTTAAAACTTTTGGTTCTTCACTATAAAGTTCTTAGTATTTTGCTATGATTTCTGAGTGAAATCATTACCTTGGGAATGGTAATAATAAACACCAGCCACCCTTACAGCTTGAATCAATATTTTCTTACTATTTAGAATCCAGTGATCCTCCAGTGAAAATATATGTTTGTATTTCTCTAATTCTCCTCTCCCCCTATATGGCTGACCCAAACTCCATAACCTTTATTCAGACCAAACTATGGCATGAATTTAGGGGAGATGAGGACAGTGAATTATAAAGCTAGCCAAATGTAAACCAGAGCATAACATTTAAGATCAATGCATAACGAGGCCAAGCAATCACAGATGCTCATCTCTGCAAGGTTTTCAGTTGTCAGAGACTCTGGGGTGAAATGAATTTATGAAAAAACAAATATGATCCACCTTTATCTTCCCAAGGCTGTAATACATGCCAGGAAGTGAGTAAGTCTATCTGTCTCTGCTGGGAAGCTTTCAAATATTTTGATTAAAATAGAACATCTCTTTTAATTCTCATCCTTGAGACGAGTTCCTAATTCACTGAACTTATCCAGGATTTTTATAATAAATGGCAATTGAATTTAAAATGTGCCTTCTGTGTTTGACCAAATGTATACATATATTAAAAACAGGACTATTGGCTTTGTATACTTTGGCCAAAAAACAAATTATAATCACATATGAATTATAGTTAATTCACATATATACATTCATATATGTACGTCTCCATGTATATGTATGCATGTATACATGTATGTATGTAAAATGTTCAGGGAGCATACCTTATTGAGAAATCTCAGGGACCAAGGAATAATCTCCCAAACGGCAGGCCCACACTATCTGATGTCTACTGAACAGCATGAGATGGTCCCTTAGACTAAAAAAAGTCATCTCCGCATTCAAGATCCACATTCAAGATCACATCTCACCATTCAAGATGCAGCTCAAAAGTCACTTTTTCATCAAGTTCCTCCTAGTTCCCATGCACCAGAAACAATAATTTTCTCTTTTCTACCTTGGATTCATTATTTATATACATTTATATACATCTCTGAACAATAAAACAAAAAGTTCCTTGAGAGCAGAGCCCATGGATAATTCTTACGTGTAATTTCCCTGTCCCCAGTGCCTAGCATAGATAGCACTTTGCCCCAGATTGGGATTAATATACATTTTCAAAATGAAATAAATGAATATTTGATTCCCTTTTAATACAATCATCAGTTTTTGCTCTCATCAAATTGCACTAGCTGCACAGGCCAGAATATATGACTCAGGAATGTCTTTGGCAATACTGTAATATTCAATTCCTGACAATTCCTCACTCCCCCTTTTTTTTTTAAAACAGGGTCTAGCTCTGTTGCCCAGGCTGGAGTGCAATGGTGCTATCTTGGCTCACTGCAATCTCTGCCCCCCAGGTTTAGGCAATTCTCCTGCCTCAGCCTCCTGAGTAGCTGGGACTCCAGGTGCATGCCAGCTAGTTTTTGTATTTTTAGTAGAGAGGGGGTTTCATTCATTATGTTGGCCAGGCTGGTCTCAAACTCCTGATCTCAGGTGATCCACCCACCTCAGTCTCCCAAAGTGCTAGGATTGCAGGTGTGAGCCACTGCGCCCAGCCTCCTCACGCCTCTTAAAACCTTGTTAAAATACTTCAAGACGCAGAGTGCAGTGGCTCTCACCTCTAACCTCAGCACCCTTGGGAGGCTGAGGTGGGCAGCTTACTTAAGGTCAGGAGCTTGAAACCAGCCTGGCCAACATGGTGAAACCCTGCTCATGGTGAAAAATACAAAAATGAGTTGCATGTGTTGATGTGTGACTGTAATCCCAGCTACTTGGGAGGCTGAGGCAGGAGAACTCCTTGAACCTGGGAGAGAGAGGTTGCAGTGAGCAGAGATAGTGCCACTGCCCTCCAGTCTGGGAGACAGGGCAAGACTCCGTCTAAACAAAAAAAAACTTCAAGGGACGTAGCAGATAATTCATAGCATCTCTGGACCCAACTCCAGCAAAAAGAAAAAAATAATAAATAAATAAAAAGGAATTGAGTACTGAGTTAAAGAAGAAATGTATTTCGGGTAGTACAAAGTGGTTAGATTGGGATTTACGAGCACGTGAAGAAATGATATGCTTGCCATATGCTTTAGGTTAACAAAGAACTTTTGACCAGACACTAATACTCTAGGCTTCTCAGGAATCACAGCTAACTTACACATTTGAATCAATTAAACAATCTGCGCAACAGATTAGTCAAGAAAGAATATGCAAATCGAGTACGATGATTGATAGTTTCCTTTCTAAATCTGAGAAAGCAATTATCCAAAAGTCAGAGAGCTTTGAACAATATTCATTCTAATTTGGCATCTCTTGTCTTTTTCAAAGCTTCAAAAATTTAAGTTAGGAGAACAAACAGACAGCACACTCTAGCGCCCTGCTCGGAGATAACATTCGCTGACTTCCTGATGTGTGGCTTTGTGTGGCTTTGCATGCCTTTGCTCACCTCACCCTCACACAAGGTAAATCAAGCCCATTTTACAGATGAAAATATTAAGGCTTATATTGTTAAAAATTATGCATATACTAGGGTCCATAAAGAAAAAACATACCTGAAGCCAGAGCCAAATTCCTATAAGTTCATCTTTACAGTCCAATATTAAAATCAGGGGACTTACGGCCAACGTTGGTTAATTTATCTTCAATTGACTGAAAGGAATACAACCTATTTGCTAACTCCTAAGGAGCTTGGGGGAATTTATCTCCAAATGACCAAAGAATTTCCAGAAAATTCTAACTTGACCTAGGAGTTAACAATAATCCCTGAGAAAAGGATAAGGCAGGCTTCATAACACAGAAGTTGCAGTTTGCTTGTGGACTTCTACTGGGTTCTGCCCTAGAATTACTACAGAGGACTCCCCTCCCTGAATTTATGCCCTTTGGTCAACACAAGGTGTGATATGGTTTGGCTGTCTGCACCCAAATCTCAGTTTCAATTGTAGCTCCCATAATTCCCACGTGTTGTGGGAGGGACCTGCTGGGAGATAACTGAATCGTGGCAGTCATTTTCCCCACATTGTGCTCGTGGTAATGGAGAGGTTTCACTAGATCTGATGGTTTTACAAGGGGAAATGCTTATAAAACTTGGTTCTAATTCTCTCTCTTGCCCTGGCCACGTGCCTTTCATCTTCCACCACGCCTGTGAGGCCTCCCCAGCCACACCAAACTGTGAGTCCATTAAATCTCTTTTTCTTTATAAATTACTAAGTCTCGGGTATGTCTTTATCAGCAATGTGAAAACGGACTAATATGAGGGGCCTAACATTTCCAGTAGCAGTCTTTTCTTTCTCCATGCTACATCTCTAAAGCATTTGTGGAATACGTACTCAAAAAGCCTGGAGCTTGGCAGATATGATTTCATTTAATTCTCATCACCTAATAAAATTATATTCCAACCCCTTGAGGACCTTTAGAGACCATACACAGATGTTAAGTGTCTTGCCTTCAAGCCAGAAGAAGTACAGCAGGAACAAGAAACCCAGTATTTCTAATTTTAAAACCCAAACTTTCTCAGCTACACCATATAACCACACTCCCCCGAGTATTTCTGTCTTCTACAGGTCTGAGCTTAAATGGTTGAAGTCATCCAGTCTTTTTTCAAGAGGCAATCAGGTTCTTAATCCTCATCTTCATCATTAAATGTTCACTAAACAGAATTGAAAGTTGCAAATATTGTAACAGAAATCACTGTGTGAATCAAATAGATAGAATTCTGATTCCAATTCCATTACTTAGAAAATCAAGGAGGAGAGACCACAAGCAACTGTTGACTGTGCGTCTCAGCCCACACCACATAACTGCCTGTGTTCTGACTGCCATTTTTACATTTCTCTTTGGGCTTTTTTAGAAACAGATGGGCTACTGACTGGGTATTATCAGTTCCAATCTATGCAGCTGCAGCATCCCAGAATTGCAGAAATAGCAATCTTCTGAATAATTTCTCCTGCCACGAACAACTGCTGCTGCTCCTATAATAACCCCCTCAGTGGGCCCGGAGAGCATTCTTCCCATTCCAAGAGCCACAGTGCTGTTTATCTTAAACCACAATGTCCTTATGTGTTTTGGCTGAAGAAATCTTGTAGGCCACCTAAATCTTTGCTTTATCTTAGTGGAGGCAGATATGCCAGATGATAATATTTGGCATATAATGGGCTTTTTATCTTCAGCTGTCACAATAAAGGAAAACCAAGATGGGAGACAACTCACTTGTTTTTCTCCTCTTCTTCAGCAAGTACGAGAGTCTCCCTATGTAGGATGTCACATGAAACTGCACATCTTATGTCATCAACTCTTAGACTCTCCAAAAAGCAAATTTATACAAGCCACAAATTTCGTTGGCCACATTCTGAACCATAATGCCACGAACTCCGAAGGTTTATGAGTTAAAATGTTCGTTATAGAAAAAAAAAAAGAATTCAGATCTCTGACTAAATATTTTCTTTCACACTTGAGTACTTTGAAACCACAAGGTATTTATCGCATAAATCAGAACTGATAATATTTAGAAATTACTCAAATCACAACATACTGAATAATAAACTTAATATTTCATCCATAAGACAGGACTTAGTTTTTTCAGATAATATTTGTTTGGTAGTTGACTACTACACCAATTAGGTAAATAAAAATTAAATAATTCAAGTATTTTAAAATATATATTACAAATTTTATAACTGGTTATACAAAAAACTAATTAGTTTTTGGTGATGACAGAATATTAACATAATTTTTCTATTTTTCAAAACCATCATTTTTATAACAACTTTAATGAAACAGAATTCACATATCAAATAATTCAGCCTTTTAAAGATCAGTGTTTTTTAATACATTCACAGAGTTGGGCAACCAGTGCCAATAATTTTAGAACATTTTCATTGTCCCAAAACACACCTATTAGCAGCCACTCTTTATTCCTCCCTAGCTTCTGGCAACAATTAACATACTACTTCTTGTCTGCAGAGCAGCCTGTTGTGGACGTCTCATATAAGTGGAATCATACACTATCTGGTCTTTTGTATCTGGCTTCTTTCACTTAGCATAATGTTTTCAACGTTTATCCATGTAGCAAGATATCGGTACTTCATTCCTTTTGTGGCTGAATAACAATTCACCATGCAAATACATATCTTTGATTTATCCATCACTAGTTGATGAACGTGTTTGATTTGAATTTATCAGCTATTGTGAGTAATGCTGCTATGACATTTGTACATATGGTTTTGTGTGGCTGTATGTCAAGCATCTCATTTTTTATGAAAATCACAATCTTTGATAAAGAAAAAAGTATGTTATGTTATGCCCATGGAAGGAAAGGTCTTAATGGTAAGAACTGTGAGACAGGAGGCTACAGAAATGAACAAGCCAAATATGAGAGCGCAAGGCGAGGTCCATGCCCTTCCTGGGCCAGTGCTGCTGCATAGCAGCAGAACTCGCTGGACTTCCTCCAACTGAGACCCCACAGGCCTGCCAACCTCAACTGCTCATAGCCAAGGATGAGCAGAGCTTGTACATCCTACCCACAAGCCTCCAAAATCCAGCACCACCTCCTACAATATGAAGTGGAATGAGATGTTTGAGCCAAACTCGGACATACTTCTCAAATGACCTCAAAACATATTCTCACTAATGCCTGAAGCAGGTCGATAGGAAAATCTGGTTTTTATTAACGATCCCATTGACTGTGACACTACCTCATCCAAATGAAAAGAGAGGATTCAAATAAACAGAGGTGTTAATAAAAGAGTAACAGCCTAGTTGATTAAAATATTCCTAGGACAGGACATACACGGTTCAAATTTACTTTGTTTTTATGTAGATTAAATATCAAAGACGTTTTCAAAGTGTCTGAAGTACTAGCCAAAGAGGTTATACATTAACTTCTTCACCCTCAAGTAAAATATTATAGGACTCAGGTGCATAAGACCCAATTTATTCCAAAACCAGAGGTTCAAAGATCAGTAATTATAAGGCTATGTAGGACAAAAAAGTGTTCTGCACCCTCTAAATTACCAGAGGTGGTTTGCTTACTGGTGCCTGAGGACAATGATAATTCAGCGTTGTTCTCATTAGAAAGGACTTCAAGCTGAAAGGCAGCCAGAATCCAGTAATACTGCAGTCAACCCTGCCTGTCTTTTCACAATTGGATCTGCATTTTTTTTAAAGAAATACAAAAACAATAACATACAGATAAGTCTCAAATGCATTATACTCATTCACACATATATCATCATGGTCTTTTTCTTGAACTAAATTATTGCATTTAAACTTCTTGTAATAGAAACAAATAGCCACAGAAGCAGCCTCAGATGCTGTATGTCTAAACTCCTCACCCTTACAGCAGGGCAAGCTTAAATTCCTGTTTCTGTTCTCCCTACTCCTGTAAACAAAAAAAACCTTTGCCTGTTCCCTTCCCCCTCCCGCTTCTTCTTCTGTGTTCCCCAACAGGAGAAACAGAACAAAACGAAAACCTAGTCAGGGCCTCCATGCAAAGCCACAGAAACAAAAGATCCCGGAGACAGTACTGGGTTGAGTTTAGAAAGCCGAAAAGGGAAGAGATCAGAAGGGGACTTGGACACTCACAGCAGAAAGAACACATCCAACCCAGGGTTCCTCAGTCAAATCTGGCCACTGCCTGTTTTTGTAAGGTCCTCTAGCTACAAGAAAATTAAATTGTTGGACAAATTATTTAAATTATTGGAAGAAAGTCAAAAGAAGAACAATAGTTCATGATTTATGAAAATCACATAAAAATCTAATTTCAGTGCTTCTAAATGAAAGTTTATCGGAATACACCCTTGCCCTTCATTCGAGTACTGCCCATGGTTACTTTAGGCCTATAAAGGCACAGTTGAGTGGCCTTGGCAGAGACCACTGGCCTGCAAAGACAAAACAAATTGCTATCAAGCCTTTCAGAGAAAAACTTTGGGGACCCCTTGGCTAGCCTATCCTAAGTGTACATTTCATCCCAAATCTCTAAAATGGATCTCAAGAAAGAGAGCCAGTTATCACTGGGGAGGTGGATGGGGAGTCACTGCGCTTGTGGAGGCAGGTAACTTAGACGGCATTCCTGTTCACAGAAGCACAAAAAGTACCACACATAGAGAGTTTACTGGGTTGAGAGTTTTTGCCTACAAACAATTTGTCCCCTTTTATAAATTTGTTTCAAGCCATGCAGCTTATCAGTGAACACAAGAACACATTAGCTGCCCACAGATTACAATTGAGTACAATTATCTACAAAAGGGACAAGGAATCCATTTACATTTCAAATCGTCTTCACTCCATTTAGCCTGAAACTTTTTCAAGTCACAAACACATCCAGAAACACTGGATAACTACTTCTTATCAATTTGGACAGCATTTCAATCCACCCCTTAATAATGTTGCCTGTGTGAGGGCAGAGGAGTGATTCAACTAGCAAACTAGAATAAGTAATGAATAGAAACTGGAGGCCCAGCAAGCTCACTGACAACCACCAAAGTGCTGTCATGTCAAAGTTTCATCAATTGCATGTGTTTATCAACCATTCCCTAATTCTCATGTTTCCTTAACACTATCCTGTTCTTAAACAGAGAATGCAATGCTCTGTGTCTTCTGCCTAATCACAAAATAACATGCATAAAAATGTTTGTAACCAAATTTCATAATCTAAATGCCACCCAGTTTATTAGGTGTCTAACAAGCAGGTATGTTTTTGTTCTTATGAGGGAACAAAGAAAATAACTCAGGTTCTGTTTCCAAATTCTGGAATGAGAATTAAAAGATTTACAAACTTATCTTGTCTTAAAGATGTTTCTGCAAAAGAACTTAGCTGTCCCTTTCACCTTCCCCACGAAACTGCGAATCTATGGTCAGCTTTCCACGGCTCCGTTTAATGCAGTAGTAGAATGGTGATCTACATTGTAATCAAAATTTGCTTGCATTGAAACTCTTCAGTTTCTTTTAATTTTTTTAATCATTCAAAGTAAATAAGTAAATATTAAGTACCAAGTTGCAAAGAGGTACAGATAGCTGGAGAATCTATGAGAAGTCCAGCGGGCATATCAATATGCCTGTGAGCCAGAAATGTCAGTGATGGCTTCCAATCTGGCAGTGGCTGTGATAAATGTCACCCCCATAGCCTCCATGCAAGCTAAAGGCATTGCAAGACTAATGCTTAGGCCAGAAAA